CAAAGGGTCAGCCGTTCGGACCAGTTGTGAAGAGCAGCCGTTCGGACCAGTTGTGAAGATCAGCCGTTTTGACCAGCTTAGAAGGCCAGCTATTAAGATCAGCTTGGAAGATTTATCAGCTTAAAATGATCAGCCGTTAAGACCAGTTGTGAAGATCAGCCGTTAAGATCAGTTGTGAAGACCACTTGTGAAGATCAGTCGTTAAGACCAGTTGTGAATATCAGCCTTTAAGACCGGTTTGAAGATCAGCCGTTACGACCAGCTAAGAAGGCCTGCTACGAAGATCAGCTTGGAAGATTTATTAGCTTCAAAGGGTCAGCCATTCGGACCAGTTGTGAAGAGCAGCCGTTCGGACCAGTTGTGAAGATCAGCCGTTTCGACCAGCTTAGAAGGCCAGCTATTAAGATCAGCTTGGAAGATTTATCAGCTTAAAATGATCAGCCGTTAAGACCAGTTGTGAAGATCAGCCGTTAAGATCAGTTGTGAAGACCACTTGTGAAGATCAGTCGTTAAGACCAGTTGTGAATATCAGCCTTTAAGACCGGTTTGAAGATCAGCCGTTACGACCAGCTAAGAAGGCCAGCTATTAAGATCAGCTGTGAAGATTTATTGGCTTGAAAGGATCAGCCGTTAGGATCAGTCGTTTAAACAAGCTAACAAGAGCAGCTGTGAAGATCAGCAGGGGGAGATTAGCTTGAAAGGATCAGGCGTTCGGACCACCTTCGGAGCTGTGATGTGAAGATCAGCTGGGGGATATTAGCTAGAAAGGATCAGCCATTCAGACCAGTTATAATGATCAATTGTTAAGGCAAGTTGTAAAGATCAGCCGTTGAAACCAGTTACTTAGATCGTATGCGAAGATGAGCTGGAAAGATCAGGAGTGAAGATCTGCAATGAACACCAGTTGGAAAGATCAGCTGTAAATTCTGTCTGGAAAGATTATCGTGGAAGATCAACGTGGTAGATCAGCCATAGAGACCAACTGTAAGTTCAGCCAGAATGATTAACTCTGAATAACTATTAAGTGTAATAGTGTAGTGTAACATGATATTAATATTCATTTAGGCAATGCCACGTAAGTCGTAATAATAGTGTTAATAGAACACCGCCACATCGGTCGCCTTACTCCGTGGTTGGGGATTGAGCTGACCGGTATCAATGACAGAGAGGAGGAGAGACACAGTAGTAGTGTTTCCGGTCGAATGTACAGCTGTGTACGAGGAAGTGTTATACACACATAGCCTCGTCTCACTGTTTGATGGTTCAAATCTGACCTTTGACACCGGGCGCATACTGTGTTTGTGACTCTCTGAGAAGAGGAACTGTTATATACATGATCGCGAGGCTGTGTTAAAACCCCACATTATTAGTAAGCGAGCGTCTCAACTCATTTGACCATTGTGAAACTTCATCGGATTGATAATGTAGCGGTGGTTCGTACAAAATATTGTTTCTTTGAACATATGGCACACAAGATAATGTGCATGTTGTATTGAGTGTGAGCAATTGCGTCTTAACAAGCATGGTGCACTGCAGAGGGAGAGGTTTCAGTCTCCTCGTGTGTGTGTTTTTCCTATCGGTGGCAGCAGGCGTATATCCAACCTGGGAGGACACTGGACGTGTAGATGAGGTGATCACAGACAACAACACAGGGCACGTGTACACGGCGGGGGAGAAGGGGATCCGTCATTGGTCTGAAAATCTCACTTTCATCGCCGGTGTTGGTTGGGGCGATGCTGACGACTGCGTTGGTGACGCTGGAGGTAATGTGACAGCGATGGCGTTACAGCCTGGCTCCCCTCGACTTCTGGCCTGCTCCACGGCCTGTGGGGGTCTCTGTGCTGTGTACAATACGTCTAATATCACCCAGAGGTTGTGGATGAACAAAGAAACTAACCACAGTTACATCAACACCCGTTCTGTTCTGGTGTTCCTTGACAATGTAACGTTGCTAGTAGCATCATCAACCTCGAACAAGCCGACGCCCGTCGTCCCCGTGTTGTCGTACCGACACTTGTCGTTCCCAGATCAAGGCCAACCTAGTATGAACATCAGTGACAACACCGAGTCTGTCATTTCAAGAAAACCAGAAAGCAACTACGCCATACATTTTATATCGGGCTTCACCAAGAACAATTTCACATATTTCCTTACAACCCAGAGAGAAACGTCAAGCATGAACGTCACAACCCGACTCATTAGGTTTTGCACAAGTTACGAGTCTTTGTTCCCTCTCATGGACTTTCCCCTGGATTGTCGGACCAAGGACCTGACCTTATACAACATCGGACTAGACATGGCGGATACCGGAAGTTCAATCACTGTGAGTTTCGGAAAAAACACAGACCAATCCGACTTTCAGCAAGATCCCTCTCTTGGATCAGCGTTGTGCCAGTACACATTTGAGGATATCAGAAACGAAAGTTCTAATGTGCTGTGTAAGTTGAGTACAACTTCAAATGTGTCGTGGGCAGATGTCACCGGCGGGTGTTATGTTCAGGTAAGAGGGCGCCTACCTATTTCTGCATGGCGAACGACTTGTAAACGACGCTGTACACAAATACTGCTGTCAAACGAATAAATTCCATAAGGATGGACTATAACAACCAATTCTTATTGGTATACATTATGCCCACAGAACTGGGGGCTCTGGATTAGACAGGTTAATCGCAAAATGCTTGAGCTGATATAGCCGAAATTTTAAATGTAAAATTGTCGGGTCCGGGCCAAAATAATCAGAAAACTATTTCAGTAAAATTGTAGTTTTTAGTTTATCAACTTTAAAACACCGAGGCCGACATACACATACAGACATTTCGGAAAAAATTATCTTCTTGTAAATCAATGTTAAAACGCTCTGTCCAAAATAGGCAGACAACTATTTCAGTACAAATTTAAAACTCCCGGGCCGATACAGACCGACAACTGTTTCAGAAAACTTGATCTTTTATTGTAAATCAAATTTGAAACGCCGAGGCCGAGAAAGACAACAATTGCAGGGACATTGATATTTGTGTGGTGACGACAACACTGACATGTGGAGAGTCCTGATTGTAACACTGAACCCAGTGCAATGTTTCTGACATGTGGGAAGTCGTTACTATGACACGTGGGGATGTGGGGAATCGTGATGATAACACTGTCATGTGGGAGTCGTGAGGATAACACTGTCATGTAGGGAGTCGTGATGATAAACACAGTCATGTGGGAATCGTGATGATGACACTGTCATGTTGGAATGGTGATAATAACACTGTCATGTGGGTATTCGTAATGATAACACTGTCATGTGCGAGTCGTGATGATAACACTGTCATGTGGGAGTCGTGATGTTAACACTAATATGTGGGAGTCGTGATGTTAACACTAATATGTGGGAGTCCTGATGTTAACCCTGCTATGTGTCAGTCGTGATGATAACACTGTCATGTGAAGAGTCGTGAGGATAACACTGTCATGTGGGGAGTTGTGATGATAACAGCCATGTGGGAGTCGTGGGTATAACTCTGTGATGAGGGAGAAGTGATGATAACACTGTCATGAGGGAGTCGTAATGATAACACTGTCATGTGGGGAGTCGTGGCGATAACACTTTTATGTGGGAGTCGTGATGTTAAAATTTTCATGTGGGGAGTCGTAATGAAAAGACTGTCATGTTGGAATCGCGATAATAACACTCTCATGTGGGGAGTCGTAATGATAACTCTGTCATGTGGGAAGTCGTGATGATAACACAGTCATGTGGGAGTCATGATGATAACACTGTCATGTGGGAGTCATGATGCTAACACTGCCATGTGAAGATTCGTGATGATAACACAATCATGTGGGGATCGTGATGATGACACTCTCATATGGGGAGTCGTAATGTAACACTGTCATGTGGGGAGTCGTGGGGATAACACTTTCATGTGAGAGTCGTGATGTTAACACTGTCATGTGCGAGTCGTATGGTAACACTGTCATGTGGGAAGTCGTGATGATAACACTGTCATGTGGGAGTCGTGATGATAAACACAGTCATGTTGGAATCGTGATGATGACACTGGCATGTTGGGAGTCGTAATGATAACACTGTCATGAGGGGAGTCGTGGGGATAACACTTTCATGTGAGAGTCGTGATGTTAATATTGTCATGTGCGTAGTCGTAATGATAACACTGTCATTCGCGAGACGTGATGATAACACTGTCATGTGGGAGTCGTGATGATAAACACAGTCATGTGGGAATCGTGATGATAACACTGTCATGTTCGAGTCGTTATGATAACACTGTCATGTGAGAGTCGTGATGTTAACCCTGCTAGTTGGCAGTCGTGATGATAACACTGTCATGTTGGGAGTCTAAATGATAACACTGTCATGTGGGAAGTCGTGATGATAACACTGTCATGTGGGAGTCGTGATGATAAACACAGTCATGTGGGAATCGTGATGATAACACTGTCATGTTGGGAATCGTGATGATGAAATGTCATATGGGGAGTCGTAATGATAACACTGTCATGTGGAAATCGTGATGATGACACTGTCATGTAGGGAGTCGTAATGATAAAACTGTCATGTGGGGAGTCGTAGGGATAACACTTTCATGAGGGAATCGTGATGATGACACTGTCATGTGGGGAGTCGTAAAGATAACACTGTCATGTTGGGAGTCGTGGGGATAACAGTTTCATGTGAGAGTCGTGATGTTAACACTGTCATGTGGGAGTCGTGATGTTAACACTAATATGTGAGAGTCGTAATGATAACACTGTCATGTTGGAGTCGTAATGATAAACACTGTCATGTGAAGAGTCGCGATGATAACACAGTCATGTGGGGAATCGTGATGATGAAATGTCCTATGGGGAGTCGTAATGATAACACTGTCATGTGGGAATCGTGATGATGACACTGTCATATAGGGAGTCGTAATGATAAAACTGTCATGTGGGGAGTCGTAGGGATAACACTTTCATGAGGGATTCGTGATGATGACACTGTCATGTTGGGAGTCGTGGGGATAACAGTTTCATGTGAGAGTCGTGATGTTAACACTGTCATGTAGGGAGTCTTAATGTTAAGACTGTCATGTGGGGAGTCGTAATAATAACACTGTCATGTGTGGAGTCGTGATGATAACACAGTCATGTGGGAGTCGTGATGATATCACTGTCATGGTGGAGTCGTGATATTGGCACTGCCATGGGGAAGTAGAGATGTTCACACTGTCATAAGGGAGTCGTGATGATAACACTGTCATATGGGAGTCGTGATGTTAACACTAATATGTGGGAGTCGTGATGTTAACACTAATATGTGGGAGTCGTGATGTTAACACTAATATGTGGCAATCGTGATGATAACACTGCCATGTGGAGATTCGTGATGATAACACAATCATGTGGGAATCGTGATGATGACACTGTCATATAGGGAGTCGTAATGATAACACTGTCATGTGGGGAGCCGTGGGGATAACACTTTTATGTGGGAATCGTGATGATGACACTGTCATGTGGGGAGTCGTAATGATAACACTGTCATGTGGGAGTCGTGGGGATAACACTGTCATGTGGGTAGTCGTAATGATAAGGCTGTCATGTGCGAGTCGTGATGATAACACTGTCATGTGGGAATCATGATAATAACACAGTCATCTGGGAGTCGTGATGTTAACACTAATGTGTGGAAGTCGTGATGTTATATGTAGGATTCCTGATGTTAACCCTGTCATGTGGGAGTCGTGATGATAACACTGTCATGTGTGAGTCGTGATGATTACACTGTCATGAGGGAGTAGTGATGATAACACTGTCATGTGCAGAGTCGTGAGGATAACACTCTCATGTGGGAGTCATGATGAGAACACAGTCATGTTGGAATCGTGATGATGGTACTGTCATATGGGTAGTCGTAATGATAACACTGTCATGTGCGACTCGTGATGATAACACTGTCATTTGGGAAGTCGTGATGTTAACACTGTCATGTGGGTAGTCGTAATGATAACATTGTCATGTTGGGAGTCGTGATGTTAACACTGTCATCTGAGAGTTGTGATGTTAACACTAATATGTGAGAGTCGTAATGATAACACTGTCATGTGAAGAGTCGTGGTGATAACACAGTCATTTGGGAAGTCGTGATGATAACACAGTCATGTGGGAGTCGTGATGATAAACACAGTCATGTGGGAATCGTGATGATGACACTGTCATGTTGGAATCGTGATAATAACACTGTCATGTGGGTCGTCGTAATGATAACACTGTCATGTGGAAGTCGTGATGTTAACATTAATATGTGGCAGTCGTGATGATAACACTGCCATGTGAAGATAATTGATGATAACACAATCATGTGAGAATCGTGATGATGACACTGTCATGTAGGGAGTCGTAATGATGACACTGTCATATGGGGAGTCGTAATGATAACACTGTCATGTGGGGAGTCGTGGGGATAACACTTTCATGTGAGAGTCGTGATGATGACACTGTCATGTAGGGAGTCGTAATGATAACACTGTCATGTTGGAGTCGTGATGATAACACTGTCATGTGGGGAGTCGTGGGGATAACACTTTAATGTGAGAGTCGTGATGATGACACTGTCATGTAGGGAGTCGTAATGATAACACTGTCATGTGGGGACCCGTGGGGATAACACTTTCATGTGAGAGTCGTGATCTTAACACTGTCATGTGCAAGTCGTATTGTAACACTGTCATGTGGGAAGTCGTGATGATAACACTGTCATGTGGGAGTCCTGATGTTAATACTGTCATCTGGGAGTCGTGATGTTAACACTAATATGTGGGAGTCGGAATGTTAACACTAATATGTGGAAGTCGGGATGATAACACAGTCATGTGGGGAATCGTGATGATGACACTGTCATGTGGGGAGTTGTGGGGATAACACTGTCATGTAGGGAGTCGTAATGTTAAGACTGTCATGTGGGGAGTCGTGATGTTAAGACTGTCATGTTGGAGTCGTGATGTTAACACTGTCATGTGGGAATCGTGATGATGACACTGTCATGTTGGAATCGTGATAATAACACTGTAAGGGGGGTAGTCGTAATGATAAGACTGTCATGTGCGAGTCCTGATGATAACACAGCCATGTTGGAGTCGTGATGATGACACTGTCATATTGAGAGTCGTAATGATAACACTGTCATGTGGGGAGTCGTGGGGATAACACTTTCATGTGAGAGTCGTGATGTTAACACTGTCATGTGGGAAGTCGTGATGATAACACTGTCATGTGGGAGTCGTGATGTTAACACTTTCACCTGGGAGTCGTGATGTTAACACTAATGTGTGGAAGTCGTGATAATAACACTAATATGTAGGAGTCGTGATGTTAACCCTGTCATTTGGGAGTCGTGATGATAGCACTGTCATGTGTGAGTCGTGATGATAACACTGTCATGAGGGAGTAGTGATGATAACACTGTCATGTGAAGAGTCGTGAGGATAACACTCTCATGTGGGAGTCATGATG